GCATTTAAACATACACATATACATACATACACACAAATACACACACATATGTATGCCCACCCAGTGGAGCCACTGTGTGTGTAAGCTGACGCTCAGAGATAACCTTGGTCGCCGGTTTAATTCCCTTCGCTGCTTTCCTTGTACAGTATTTCAGCTGGAGGGCTGAAATGCAAGTTATGATAGCGCATCGTCTTCTGGATAAGGAGTTTAAGGCGCCATTTGTTCTGTGTCTATTATGGCCCAAGTACACTTAAAGAACGCAGTACACTCATTCGAAATAGAGTATCGGATTGTCTCACGGTATACTCTCCACACGAATGTAGGTAAGAATGGCCCCGGAAAAAAATGGCCCTGGAAAAAATGGCCCCAGAAAAAATGGCCCCGGTAAAAATGGCCCCATATGACAGGTAGGTAAAAATGGCCCCAATGAAAAATTTGGTAATAGAAATGATATATATATTTTTTTAATCTTCAAATATTTAAATACTGTATAAGCAAGAATTGAATCAAGAAATAAAAAATGGCCCTCAATTATAAAATTCAAGAAAGAAAAAAAATAAATGTTGTAAAATACCTTGTAGCAAAAATTAATAAATCAACATAAAAAATATTTGAGAACTAAAATAAATTAGTTTTTAGCTCCTATGAGTAGCTCTGGGAGTAGGTCTAAGTATTTTTTTAAATTATTAATATTATTAGATATTATTACTATATTTGCGGCCAATTATTATTATTATTATTAATGGCTCTGATGGGAGGCTCTAAAACATTGATTCGGTTTTGAACGACGAACTTGCAGGGAATGTTATAAACCATTTTCGCGAAATTTGAAATAAAAATTTCCAATAACGTGGTGAATACCAACGATGGGGACTTTCAGAGGCCTGGCATTTCGCGGTACGTATTGCTGTCATGGATAACATGAACAATAAATCTAAATTGCTAACGAGCACAAACATTTTAAAACGGAAAAACATAGAATAGTCAGCGATTTTGTCAAACAAGGTATAAAAAAAAGTCTCGCCTTGGGTAGCATTTTTTTAAAGAAAATCATTAATTTCATTTAAAAAAACACAAGTTACTGATTGATTAAATAATTCTATTTTAAATAAGAAATGATTTTGCACAGTAAAGGTAACATAGGACAACATTTAAAAGATCATTATATTAGTGCTACTGAAACTGTTAATTATTTCAAGGTTTTATCTAAGTGCAAATCTAAGTTTGATTGCTTAATTAAAGAAATGCTTTGGATCAAACAACTGAAACCTACACTTAACAAACAAACTGATTCAGTCAAAGCCAAACTGTTTATCTAGTTAATCTGCTAAGAAGGGCTAATTATTGCTTAGCTCCATTGTGGCTCCACACACAGTAGGCCCTATTGATATGTAAATTAATTAATTACTTCCTGTCACTGCTTGGAATTTTTGTTTTTAGTTTTTTCAATTTACTTGATCTTGAGAATGGTTCCATGATGGACCCGAAACGTCTATCTTTCTTATCATTAAATTTTGTTTTGAGATTATGTTCTTAATTGATTTAATAAATAAAAGCCACAAATAATAATTTGATTTACTAAATTTCATTATGTAAAAATAGTTATGCTTTAACATAGATTAAAAATATGTTATGCCTTACTTATTTTTAATCTATGGTCTTTTTAATTAATTTTCTTTATTTTATTGGAAATTCCGTAGTGCAGAGTAAATTTATCAAAACCCATTAGGTTTACAGTAATATGAAAAAAAAAATATAGTCTATACAGGAATAGTATCTAAAATGGTCTCAGTTTCCAAAGTTAAAGCAAAAGATCTAATCTAAACACACAATATTAGGCAGGATGTATTTGTTTGGAAAAGAACCTACTCTTTTGTGAAATTAAGAGGTTTATAGGTGAAAATTGTAAATTTAGAAATAAGTTTTATTTTTTCCTTTGAACTGAGATCAATATGTGATTTTTTTATTTCTTTAAAAGCATTTGTTTTTTAACAATTACAGCAGATGCAAATAATGTTCTGAGAGATAATCGAAAAACAATGGTATTTGAATAACATTTTTTGATAGTAGAAATAAAAGTTTTAAAAACGTTATTTCACTAACAGAGTAGAGGAATGACATACAGTATACAGTACTTCAACTACCAAAATATGCAACTCATAGTTAACCACAAACTTCACTTTTGTTAAATATCAAATGAATTAACTTTACATGTTATAAACAATGCAAATAAACAGTAGTTAAAGCGTGGATCAATTGTGTGTTTGAATCACAAGTTCATGTATAGGAAAAGGGAGAGGCTTACTTTCTCACAAACTTAGCAATAAATTGTCTGCTTAGAGTTTATTCAAAGAAGTATTGCTTTTAGTAAACTGAATAATTAGGAATACATTTATTTAAGCAACTAATTTAGTTGCATACTTGGTTTTTACTCATCACTAACTAAATCCAAGTGCCTACTACTGGCGTAGAATTATATATAGTTATGTATGGCAATTATGCTAAGAATTAAAATGGCGTGCGATTGTGAGGGTAGGGTGATTATGGTAGGATTAAGTGGTATTGCTAAATCCCACAAACCTCCCAAAACACACTGTAGAAAATGAAACAATTCAATTGTGATTGACTGACTTGGTATATCAATAATTATGATTGTAGAACTCTATTTTTTCTTTAAAAAAAATAAAATAATAATAATTTGATGTTCATACTAACCCACTGTTTGTGGGGTTTACCAATACACAGATTGAATTTCTGGAAAATTGTGATTCTGCTTCAGTGAAATTGGCCACAAGTAAATTATTTTAGTATTAATAAATGCATGATTTATGTTGATTTATTGATTATGTTGTTGCTGTTTTTTAACATTTAAATGGAAAAAAAATAAAAAGTGTAATTCATGGCTTTTTATTTATCTTTGAATATTTTATCATTGAATATTAATTCTTGCAAAAAGTAAAATGTAAATGTCAATTTGTTTGTTAGATTCCTTTTAAAAACTAAATTATTTAAGATAAAAAAAATGCATATATTGACTCAAGAAAATCAGTTTTAATACAGAATTTGATTTTTGGGGAGATTCCTTTTAAAAACTAAATTAGTTAAGATAAAAAAAATGCATATAATGACTCAAGAAAATCAGTTTTAATTCAGAATTTGATTATTGGGGCCATTTTTACCTACCTGTCATATGGGGCCATTTTTTCCGGGGCCATTTTTTCCGGGGCCATTATTTTTCCGGGGCCATTATTTCCGGGGCCATTCTTAACGTACACCCTCCACACTGCTCAATCAACACCTTGGTGTTTACACCGAATAAACTCATTCATCCAAAATCATCATTATCACCGTCGTCTAGTACGGTATTATATAGAGTGCGGGCACAATGTAGTGATAGTAAAATAATATCTCTTACCGATACATGCATTGTCTTCAATGATGAATCCTGACAGACAGACACATTCGTAGCCGCCATAAGTATTATTACACTTAAAACCAGATGGACATTCGAAGTTCTCTTTGGCACATTCATCGTCGTCTGCAACAAAAAGCCACAACTAATTAACCTTTTTAAGTGTCAAAACTACGAATCAATATATCAGGAATGAGTTTATTCGGTGTAAACACCAAGGTGTTGATTGAGCAGTGTTGAGAGTATACAACGAATAAACTCATACATCCAAACTCATCATAATAATAATTATCGAGTTATAGTGCATATTGTAGACTATCCTCTATGCGTTTTACATAATTACCCCCGGTCACTGGATCAAGCACATGGAACAACACTCATGCCCAATAATGTTGTAGCTGTAATCAGTGCATAGTATGTGTTTGAACCTACCAGGTACCCACTTGCACTCCAGGGTGGAGAGAGACAACCGTAGATAAAATGCCTTGCCCAAGGACACATGCGATTTGCAAAGCGAAAGTCTGCAATAAAATCATCATCATCATCATCATCTAGTATTATAGTGTAGGTGCACAAGCTAGCAATAGTAAAATAATATCTCTTACCGATACATGCATTGTCTTCAATTATGAATCCCGGCAGACAGACACATTCGTAGCTGCCATAAGTATTATTACATTTAGAGTCAGATGGACATTCGAAGGTCTCTTTGGCGCATTCATCATCGTCTGCAATAAAGGAACACGGCTAATTAACCTTCCTGAGTGGGAAGGTCCATTCCTTAGGGTATCCTTATCTATTTCTATTATTACATTAATTTTTTTTAAATTAAAAATCAATAAAGTTACTATTATGAAAGCTTAAAATACAATAAGTAACAGACACAATGGATGAATGATTAATTGAAATAATGGTTGGTAAAACATTAAAATGTTCTGCATTTAAATTATTCCTGTTTGTTCCACAGCGAAAATTAAGTAGAATGGATTATAGGCCAATTCTGTTTTGCCCAAAACTGCCTTACATTTAAAAAGTACTTCATTATACACATGATAAGAGCCATAAAATTAATGAAGAGATACCTACTTCTATTTCTAAGAGAAGACTGTTCGTCGTGAATCAACTTACCCACGCATGAATCACTGGTTTCATTTAGTATATAGCCATGAAAACATGTTTGACAATCGTACTGCTTGTGGCCTAAAAAAATGCAATCTTGGAAAAGTCTCTGTAAGCAGTCGTCTGTGCTCTCAAAGCAGGGGTTGATATCTGTAATAAATACCCATTGAAAACGATCGCTATTATATTATACAGTGTGTAAGTGAAGTAATTATTGAAAAGCTACAAATCTCATTTTACAATTTTTCGATAGAATTTAATCTTGGAACTTTCACTTCTTCCCATCCATTGTTCTTGTTAAGCTGTAATACAGCATATCACCACGGTGACCTGGGGTGTATCCAGGGGTGTAGATGGTGCGATCGCACCTCCCAAAATTGTATTAAGAAAAATAATTGTATTTTATTGTTGATATGAATTACTGCTAAGATGGTTTAGGTATGAGTGAAATTTCCGGGCACCTGAGGTACATATTTTCAAAGATTTTGCACCTCAGCTCCGACCAAGGTGGTGCTGAGGTGGTATCAACTCGCACGCATCCAAATGCTGTCAAATCCTGCATCTGTCAAATACTTCCCCCGTGGGAAAAATATTTTTCGAAATATCAACAGAGGGCGTACTTCACAAAGGAGAACCAGAGACATCTATGGCTGTGTGAAGAACTATTGATATTTTCACACTTACCAGGTTCCATAACATCAACGTCATACACCTGATTGTCAGGATCCAAGAAGTCCATACTACTGCCTGTTAGCCCATTTAAGAATACTTGCAGTAACTGTTCGTCCGTAATGTTTAAATCTTTATCGAAACTGACGATAAAGGAGACTCCTAAGCCATTGGTGGCATTATAAAATGCAGCAGTTTCAGTGCCGAAATATTGATCTTTAATAACACTCATTCGGAAAAGAGTATCCATCTGTTCACAAGATGAAATGTACATTAATACGTTGGTATTGACAGAATATTATTTTTTTAAATAACGTCTATTTTAGTTTTTAAATGCGATGGTATAACTAAAAAATATTTTCTTTCTTGATAAACTTACATCTTTTGCTAATCCCACTGAGGTTTCATCAAAATCAAACTGAAACATTGTCACGCTCAATCCTTTGATGTACAAGAATTCAACCATTAGCGTTTTCGATGCTGATGCTGTTTGAACAAAATAAAATCATATAATCTACTACTGGTCTCATCAAACAACTGATTTCTACTATAATAGCTAGATTGCTCATTTAACTGGTTTTAGTGAAGCCACTGATGCCATGTTAGAGGGCCTAAGCGACGTACCAGAGAAGTTTCTTTTGGCATTTGTTTAAATTATTGTTAAAAATAAGAATTCTTGGAATACTTTTAAGAATAAATGTAAATTTAACATAATGGTTATTTTTCAAATCATTTAACCACTCGACGCGCTTGTTTATGCAGTTTAGTGATTGACGGCACTAACGCGACTTCGCTTGCGCTTTTGTGAAGTGCATATATAGTCACAACCAATTAGACTTACCAACCTTTAGTTATAGTATAAATTTCTAGATAAATGAAATATTAATTATGCAAAAGAGCAATCAACAAATTCACACACACACCCACAAATACTGAAAACAAAAGACCATATTGCATTGTATTTTGCGAAGTTTGAAACCAATCGGACTTACCAAACTTTAGTTATTATGTTTAACTAGCCTAAATTACCTGATTAGTGAAATATTAATTATGCAAATGAGCAATTAGCATTTTTACAAACGTACAAAAAACAATATGCTCTGCCTTCTTATTACTATCTTATATTGTGCTAAGTTTGAAACCAATTGGAATTACCAAACTTTAGTTACGTAGTAACCAGCCTAAATTAACCGATTAATATTAATATTATTATTATTAATATTAATTATGCAAAGTAGCATATTCACACACGTACCAAAAACAATAGGCTCCGTCTTCTTGCATTCTACCAAGTTTGAAACCAATCGGACTTACCAGACTGTAGTTATCATGGTAACAAACAATTTACCCAACATCAACAACAATGTCAACAACGACGATGAAAACATCATGAAAAAAAAACATGGGCAAATAGACTCCCCCGAGCTTCACTCCTTTGATAGAGGCTAATAATAACTATAACAATAACACAATAACAAGCAAAGATGATAGTAACAATATCAATATACAACAGTTTTTTGTCAAAGAAAATTTGACAGTGTGGACATATCCTAAAATTACCTTGACATTGGCCACTAATGTTGAAATAAAAGGTTTGACAGGTACAATAGTAGGATCCCTGAGTGTTTACACATCGCTCTTTCGCTTCAATATCACATGTATTAACCTGTTGATCACATTCATCTATATCTGTTATCAAAAATACAACATTTACGAGATATTAATGATCACCGATCAAAGGAAATATAATTTTAATTTTCCTTTTACTATCAAGTTGAAATTTTTTTTATGGATAAACGATTTTCATTTTGTGCAAATTACGGTTTTGATTGTTATCTTATTATCAGTGTTTATCCTCATTCTCATCACCCTCTTTTAAATTTGATTGTTATCTTTATCACTGTAAGTGTTCCTCATCACCATCACCACCAACCACCATCACGATCACCACCATCACTATCACTACCTCCACCATCACCATGACCACCTCCACCATCATCCTCATCGTCATTTTTATTGTAACATGAATTGTCCTTATCGACGCGGTTCTTGAAAAGCCATTTGGACGCAGCAACTTTAATGACTTACCTTTGCAATTGTAGCCGTCTCCAGTGAATCCACTTTTGCATCCACAAGTGTATGATCCGACAGTATTTGTACATGTAGCAAAGTTATGGCACATATCAATTCTGTAGTCACATTCGTCGTAATCTGATAATACAATACTAAACTAATAGCTATAAAAATACTTAAGCAAATAATGTTTATTATCTTTATTTTAAAAAATAACACAAACATTACTGACAAAAAAGATTGACGTTTTTGTCAATAAATTGTGTGTTATAATATAGTAAACACCTGTTAATTCGTAAAAAATAATTATTCTTCTATTATTTATTGACCATATCTTTTTAAATTTTTAATTTAAATTATTTAATATTAGCTGACAACTAATAAATAATTGAAATATACAAATTAACATTCAATTTCGTTTGAGGCCATATTAAATTTAGTTAGCTGTATATATAATTAAGATGACATCTTGTAATACCAAGATGATCGTTTTGCATTATTTATCTGGTGACAATTATAATAATTAATCCTAATACCTTAGATTATAAGGTACCGGTCACTTGTAGTATAAAATTATACAGTACCGTTGCAAGTGTCATTTCGAGCGTTCCCTCCTTCAGTGCTTACATAGCCAATGTTACAGAAGCACGTAAACGATCCCACTGTGTTATTACAACGCGCATTGACGTCACACTCATCCGCATCAAGGGCACACTCGTTTATATCTGTAACAGTAAATAATATATGTATATTTAAAATTTTATTTTTAAAAGATAAGGGGCGTAACTAACCCTTTCCATAAGTTTTAAGTATTAAACAAATTATATTTTATTAAGCATTATAGAGGAGTTTTTTGTTGTCAAACACCCCTTCTGCGTCTTAGAAAAACCAGTTGTACAGCATATGATTTTTTTTTTATCCGGAGCCCGACGTTTAGGATGACTTCTATTGCTGTCCTGTATGAGCCAATTTAGGCCCATGTATGTCCATTACACTACACCGCATAATAGTTATATTTGAGGCCCCATAGACTATAATGCTGAAAGTCCTGCACCGCTGACACTATGTTACATAAATTTTAAATATTAATATAATAAATTATTGCTATGTAATCATTGTAGAATTTGATACATGATAATGGAATGCTAGGCCTGATAATATTACATTTATTAATGCGTATTAAGCTGCATATTTCAAGTACAGTAATGATATTAATAACGATGATAGTAATGGTGATTATGTCGATGATACTGACAATAATTCTGATAATAAATCTTTTTTTTTTCGAAGAAACGAATGACACTGTATTGAAATGTATATGTATGTATTTACAATTCACATAGGCCTACTTCAACATTTAAAGTTATGACAACAAACCAAAAGTAACCTCACCCTCACAAATGAACCCGTTTCCGTCAAAACCCACTTTACATAGACATGTGTATGAGCCTATGTTGTCTGTGCACGTTGCCTGTTGATGACAAATATCAGGCTGATCGCTACATTCATCAATGTTGTCACATGCTTCGAACCCGTCTCCACGGTAGCCTTCTATGCATGCACAAATGTATGATCCAGGCGTATCGGTACAGTTGGCATTGTCATGACACAGACTATTAATATTACTGCATTCGTCAATATCTGTGATTATAAAGTGAAATAAAAATAGTATTATTCTTATAATATTTATTTGACATTACACTTTTACAACAGTGGCAGCACACAAGAAAGTCCATGGCGCAGTCAAACTAATGAACAAAGAGGAAAACAGCAACTTAAAGCTAAACAAATGAATGAAACTTAACTAAAGAAAATACAATTTAGAGTTTAAATAAATCATAAACACTCCTCACCCTCCCCACACAAATAATGTACATAATACATATTACGTGCATACAGTAAACGTACACCCCACCCAATATATATATATGTGTGTGTGTGTATGTATGTATGTATGTATGTATGTATTATATATATATATATATATATATATATATATATACATAACATATATATATATGTTGTACATATATACAACATAAATCAAGGTAGCCGTTAACACTGTTAAATCATATATAAATCATCAAAGAAAG